CCTTTTTAGTTCACAGCGATCAAGGAAGGAATTTTGTGTCTCAAATATTCCTGGAAACTTGCAGAGTTATGGGTACTCATAAAACAAGAACGACTTCTTATCACCCGCAATCGGATGGAATGGTGGAACGATTTAATCAGACATTGGAGAGGTACCTAGCAAAAGTTGTAGACAATCGGCAACGAGATTGGGACAAGCACATACAACCGTTTTTGTTGTCATATCGAAGTTCTGTTCACGAAAGTACAGCAGTGACAACAGCTTTCGCAAACTTTGGAAGAGAATTACGGCTGCCTGCAGACCTGATCACCGGGATACCACCTGATGCCCCACGCAGTATAACCGATTATGCAAGTTGCTGAAATGACTTGCGGAACAAAATGAATGACATTTATGAGCACGTCAGACAATCGGGCCAGCAAATGTCTGAGAAAATGAAAACCCGGTACGACCGCAAAATGAACAATAAAGGGTTCAACGAAGGTTCATTAGTGTGGTTGCACAATCCAGTCCGCAGCAAAGGGAAATCTCCTAAGCTTCAAGCTAAATGGGACGGCCCGTACCGGATTGTAACCAGGATCAACGATGTGACCTACCGGATACAGAAAGGCGCAAGAGGGCCTCCTAAGATCGTCCATGTGGATCGCTTGGCGCGTTATTATGGGACCGATAATGCTCGGGACGAGCATGTCTTAGGAGGGGGCAGTGTTGCGTGAATAAGTCAACGTCATACACTAGCGCCATCTAGTGTCAGGAACGAGAGCGAGGGGAGCTTTGCAGAAAATGACATCACAAATTTTTCAACCGACAGCGCCATCCGAATAACTAAGTTTCTAGAAAATCTACACTCGAACACTCGTCGCTTTGCGCGCATTTACTTGAATATTCCGGATGCTTCATTGCTAATTTGTATATATAGGCGCTGCAAGATGCGATCGGGGCAGTATTGGATTTGGCGAGACGAGCGAAGCTTCGGAGCGGAATAAAGTGAATTAGTGTGTTTAATTATTAGTAGTTAAAGTCATGAATTTTGTTAACGTAAATAAAATTTTAAATCCTAATCAATATGTATTTCAAAAAGGCAAAAACACGTCATTAGCTATATTTAAAATAATGAATCATATTTGGGATGACATAAACGAAAAAAATCCATGTTTTGCCCTTTTCTTAGATATGACAAAAGCATTTGATTGTGTTAATAATGAAATTTTACTGAAACAATTGGAAAACATTGGCATTCGTGGAATTGCTCTAAAATTATTTAAATCGTACCTAGAATATCGATATCAGCCTATTCGATAGCAACTATTTTGGATACACACGACTCGTATAATAACAATACTACAACTATTGAAACAGTTAAGTCAAAATTGAAAAAGTCAACATTCGTGTACCTCAAGGAAGTATACTCGGTCCTTCTTCGTTTATGTATATCAACGAAATATTTAAAATCACCAAGCATTTAACAATAATGTTTGCTGATGATGCTACATTCTTTTATACTAGTAAGCTAATAAATAATTCAGAACTAGAAAGTGAAATTAATAAGTCCATAAAAGACATAGTGTCCTGGTTAAAGTCTGTTAACCTAACAATTAATGTAACTAAAACTAAAATTCTGCAATTTAGAAATTACAAGACTAATCCAATCCATTTAAAAATATCATTTGATGGCTCAGTCATAGAGAAAGTAGATAATATAAGCTTTCTTGGAGTTAAAATTGACTCTCACCTAAATTGGAAATCACACATGGAAAAGATTAACAATAAAAAAAGATATCGAGTTACTGCTATGTTCTTTCAGTACTTTCTTGGTCAACCTCTGAATCTGTTACTAGAAATGCGTACTATGGTTATATTTATCCACTGTTATTACATGGTATAATTTTTTGGAGTAATTCAACTAACATAAATGAAACGTTTATACTACAGAAACGATGTTCGCGTATCAAATACGATAAGACAAATAGAGACAGCCTGAGGAATTTATTTAAAGAAAAACGTTTTTTAACATTAACTGAAATATATATTGTGCCTATTTATTGGAAAAAATTGCGATTTATTCGAACAGAAACTTTCGAAACGGCAAAATTTACGCCCTTGCTATGAAAACAATCTTTATCTATCTCAAATTAAAAATAAATTGTTTGACAAAAGTAAATACCTAACAGCAATTAAAGTATTTAATCACTTACCGAATAGTATTAAAACAATAAAACGGGCCAAATTCAAACATAATCTAAAAAACTGGTTGGTGGAACATACGTTTTATACGCTAAATGAATTCTATAATTTTAAGAGTTAATATCGTGTTCTTTATTATATTTATATTTTGAAACATTTTTTTAAATATTTTATCTTAGAAGTTAATTTTAAATCTATCATCTGTTAAATGTAAATAGTATATATATTATGTTTAAAATGAAAATTTTAAATGTATTGCACGCCAAATGAGGCTACTGTTGATATCTTTAATAATATGTCATCTTTAACTTGTACACAGTAATGCAATAAATGAATTATTATGGGGTATCTATATAGTTTTCTCATCTGGTTGGGTTCTATAAATATATAATTATAAATTAAAATGAAAAGATAAATATACATAAATATCAATAAAATAAAATAAATACAAAAATACATAAATAAATAAAAGCTCAACCAGATGGAAGCCCTCGGCAGGGGAGACCAAACGGCCGAGGGTTAGGAGGAAAGGGAAAGAAACCGGTGGACGATGCGGGCGGTATCGAGGAGCACCGCCTTCTGCATTTGAGCCCGGAGCGGTCCGTAACGGAGTTCCAGTCGCCTCAGATGACCCGAGAGGCTGACTTGAATTAGCCCATTCGCAGAGACGACTACAGGAATAATTTCGGCCGCCAAACCACCCCACATGTCGGTCACCTCGTGGCCAGGTCCAGATATTTTATTTGTTTATCTGTTTCGGCTTTCACGAGGTTCTCGTCATACGGAATGGTAATGTCGACCAAAAATATCCTTGACTGTGCCCGGTCCATCAGCACAATATCAGGCTTATTCGCAAGAATAGTCCTGTCTGTGATGATGGTCCGGTCCCAGCAGAGCCTGGCGCGGTCATTTTCGAGCACGGCTTCCGGTAAGTACTTGTAATACGGCAATTTCCGGTCCACGAGACCGTATTTTAGAGCGAGCTCCTGGTGTAGAATTCTGGCTACTAGGTTGTGCCTGTGCAAGTACTCAGAGTTAGAAAGCGCCGAACAACCGGAGATGATATGCCTAAGTGACTCACCGGGATGGCAACAAGCTCGACAGACGTCGACGGTGCCATCCTTTAGGATGTATCTCCGATAGTTGTTGGTCTTAATAACCTGATCCTGTATTACACAGACAATACCCTCGGTTTCCCCAAAAAGGTCAACGAAACGTTGCCAGTTGAGGGAGGCGACTGTATCTACGAAGGGCTCATGTAGAACCCTGTATTACCTCCCGTGGAGCTCCTCCTCCTTCCATACGGTCTCCCGGTCGGAAATGCTTTGTACTGCCGGGTCCTGGCATTGCTCGTTGGCTAATGATAGAGGGGTAAGTCCTTTATCACTAGAAATGACGTCATTATAGAATGGGTCATCCGAACTCACCAGGAAGTAATTACGGAGGCTGCACACTTCGCGATTATGCATGGTGAGCGCGATTAGGAAGCCACGCCCACCATGCTTTCGCGGCAAGTACAGCCTCATTACCGACGATCTCGGATGATGCATCCTATGGGACGTCATGGTAGTGCGGACTTTTCTATCTAGGGCTTTAAGTTCGGTCTGAGTCCACCTGAGTATGCCAAAGGTATACATGAGGACGGGCATGACCCAGCCGTTATATGCGTGTGCCTTATTCAAACCGGACAAAAGGCTGTTAAGCACTTTGGTCAAGCGTGCATAAAACGTGTCGCAAACTGACTGTTTCATACCAGCCTCATCAATACCGATATTCTGTGACGTACCCAGGTATCGGTATGTTTCAGCCTCGGAAAGGGTCCTTAAGTTGACGGGCATAGATAAGTCTATATCCTCAAAGTTAGCAACCCTTCCCCTCTCAACATGGAGGACCGCACACTTATCCGTCCCCAGCTCCATTCCAATAGAATTGCTAAATACGCAAGTGATGTTTTGAGCGAATTCCATAAGATGGGAGCGACTGCCCTTTTTTTTCTTTCCCGGGCCCTCCTTTTGCGGTCGTCATCCGCTCGCCTAGATGACAGAGAATCGTGCTCCACCGCCACATACACTGCTCGATGAAGTCTCGAACTGTACAGTCAATCTTGTATAGCTTCTTTAGCCATGTATGGGGCACCGAGTCAAATGCCTTTCTGTAGTCTATCCAAGCGGCGAAGAAGTTCCGACGGTTGCGTTTCACTACTTTGCCAATGACCGCGTCAATGAGGAGTGGGTCCTTGGTTCCAAGACCGCCGCCCCGACATCCATTTTGAGCGCGCGACATCACCTGATTTGAGCCCAGGTGACGAGTGATTCTCGCGCTCAAAATGGATGTTAGTGTCTTGTATATGGTCGGTAGACACGTGATGGGGCGGTACTTGCTCAGGTCTGTGGTAACCTGGTCTTAAGGAACCAAATGAGTGATCCCATTAGTGAAGAGGCTGTGACAGACAGTGTGACACACCACAAACCCCTTCAGCCAGTAGTGATGCAGCTCGTCGAGTCCCGGACTTTTCCAGTTCGGGGCCCTACGGACCGCCTCAGCTACGTCATCCGGCGTTATAATGACGGAGTCCATGGGCGTTATACTCGCACACTGACTCGCTACAACTTCCGTCCAAGGGCCGTCGCTGTGGTTTATGGGCTCTGACCACAGGCCGCGCCAGAATGCTACAGTGTCGGCCTGATTCGGTGCTGGGCCCGTTACACTTACCACTGGTCGCTCCAATGATTTATAGAGCCTCTTCAGATCACTCTGGAAGAGACGATTCTGGTTGAACCGTGTCGACCTCTCGGTATATCGCCGAAACGCTTTCCTCAAGCAGCGATTCTCTGCTTCAGGTCGTCTATGCGCTCCGTCAGTTTTTGCATTATATCCGGCTGGGACAAACTAACATTTGTCCCAGCAAATGCCATCCTGACGGTGCGCACAATCCTTGGCCTGTTGTTGCCTGACCTGAAGCATATCAGTCTGCCGATGAGGGCCCTAGCCTTTGCGATACGTTCTTCAATTCTTATTCTCCAGGCTGGGATAGCGCTACTTTGTCCAGTAGCGCGTCCAGCCGTGGAAAGTTTGGCGCCTATAATACGGCACACTGCCAGTGCGGCGCCAAAAAGAATTGAGTCCGTCTCGCAAAGGTCCCGGCTGGCTTCCAAATAGGTCACCAGCATTGGGTTCAGAGCCCTCACGAAAGCCCAATTCCGCTTGCTTAGGGCTATGCGGGGAAGTCGCGGTCGATTTTCGAGAGGCGTACTTCGCGTTTCCACAATCGCCTCTTCCAATGTACTCCTCATGTGCTCTAATTCCAGCTCCTGGGCGACTGTACCATCATCGTTTGAATCAACCACAACTGGGGTATTTACGGCGGCATTCACGTTTGCGGGTTGTTCTGCAACTTGTGGCGCCGCATCCTCAGCCGTAGCATTTTCATCCGATGATGGAACAGCCGTCACGTCGTAGCCGTTCGAGTTCGGTGACATCAAATATATTTGAGCGCAATATATACCGAACTCGGTCTGCTAGGTTTTGCTCGGTGTCGGTAATAGATGGCTCCAGCTCAGTAAAAAGACGATGCATCCTACCCCGATACGCCAAACCAGTTTTAACAGTGGTAGAGCCACGCGGCAGCTTTGCTGTCGCACGTATGGGCCGGCTCAAACCGGGGTGGTACCACGACCTCACAGAATACCGGCGTGAAGTGGAAGCTCTGCTTCCGCGTTTCGTCTGGTGAGTGCAGGTGGCCGGAGGCCCAAATCCCCCCCCCCATCAACATGGTAGCGGAATTAAATGATAGACTACCCCAGGAGGGTACCAGCACCCATGGAGAATCCCTCGCTGAGCATCCACGACCATGTTTCTCCACTTCTGAGCGTGGGTGCTCAGGCTGCCCCGCGTATTCTGGGGGGGGGGGGGGGCAAAATTCCGCTCACTACAACTGCTCGGGGCAAACGGAGCAACAAGACCAAGGCGACCCCTGCCACGCTGTCCGTGAATTTCTGCAATATCAGGGGACTTCACTCTAACCTAAACGCCGTCCACTACCATCTCGAGACGGCGAGGCCGGCTCTGCTCTTTCTGACCGAGACGCAGGTGTCCTCTCCGGCTGATGTCTCGTATCTCTCCTGCCCGGGGTACAAACTGGAACACTCCTTTGTGCCTCGGGCTGGAGTTTGCGTTTACGTCAGAGAGGACATCTGTTCTCGACGCCTCAGCAGACTTGAAGGTTCTGACCTGTCCATCCTTTGGCTACGCGTAGACAGCGACGACCATCCGCGCGTCTACGGGTGCCTCTATAGGTCCCATAGCGATAATGCCGAAACAGACCGACTCTTCGACCACGTCCAAATGGCTGCAGATTCGTTGCTACAGCAGATCCCCTCCGCAGAGATCGTGATCCTCGGCGACTTTAACGCCCATCACGCCGAATGGCTCGGTTCACGTTTAACCGATCATGCGGGGAGATCTGTTCATGATTTTGCCTTGGCATATGGTCTGACACAACTGGTTACTTCGCCTACGCGGATTCCAGATGTGGAGGATCATGCACCTTCCCTGTTGGACCTTCTGCTGACCTCTCACCCGGACGGATATCAGATTTCCGTCGACGCCCCTTTAGGCTCCTCGGACCATTGTCTTGTCCGGAGTGTGGTGCCACTCACGCTGAAATCGCGGTTGCATGCTGCAGGCTGCCGCCGTGTTTGGCACTATAGGTCAGCCGATTGGGATGGGATGCGGTCTTTCTTTGCATCCTACCCTTGGGGGCGGGTTTGCTTCTCGCCGGACGATCCCAAAGTTGTTGCGGATTCTGTCGCTGATGCGGTACTTCAGGGTATGGAACTTTTTATTCCTTCCTCTGTGGTGCCCATTGGAGGCAAATCTCAGCCATGGTTTGGTCGCTCCTGTAAAATAGCATCATGCTATAAGCAGGAGTGCTACCGAGCCTGGGCTGACGCATCAGCGTCCAGGGATGTAAACACCAGCGCTCTAAGAAAGAAGTATAATTCCGCCTCTAGGTCCTTCAAAAGAGACATTGCCAAGGCAAAGTCAGAGCACATAGGCAGAATTGGCGAGAGACTAGTTCGTCTTCCTTCTGGAACCCGTGCATTCTGGTCTCTCGCCAAGGCTGTCCAGGGGAATTTCTGTCAGCCATCTCTTCCATCTCTGCACAGGGAGGACGACTCACTGGCCCACACCGCAAAGGAGAAAGCCGATCTTCTAGGCTCTTTCTTTGCGTCTAACTCGACTCTCGATGACGGGGGGAGTATGCCGCCGACCATCCCGCGGTGTGAGTGCTCCATGCCGGAAGTGCAGTACACTCAGCGCTCGGTTCGCAAAGCACTCCTCTCCCTGGACATCCATAAGTCGAGTGGGCCTGACGGAATCCCACCAATTGTGCTGAGGACGTGTGCTTCAGAGTTGGCACCGGTTTTAACGCGTCTTTTCCGGTACTCCTACTCCCTAGTCTCCCTAGGCGTAGTCCCAAAGTCATGGAAGACGGCTTTCGTCCACCCGTTCCCTAAAAAAGGCAACCGCTCAGATCCGTCCAACTACCGGCCTATCGCCATCACCTCCTTGTTCTCCAAAACAATGGAGTCCATTGAAAACTGCCAGCTCATGAGGTACCTTGAGGATCACCAGCTGATTAGTGACCGCCAATACGGTTTTCGCCGTGGTAGGTCAGCTGGTGATCTTCTGGTCTACCTAACTCATAGATGGGCGGAGGCAGTAGAGTCCAAGGGGGAGGCATTGGCCTTTAGTTTGGACATTGCGAAGGCCTTCGATCGGGTTTGGCACAAAGTGCTTCTTTCGAAGCTCCCTTCCTATGGGCTTCCCGAGAAATTGTGCGATTGGATCACCAGTTTTCTTGCAGATCGGAGCATCAAGGTCGTTGTAGACGGTGCAAGCTCCGATTGCAAGCTTATTAATGCTGGTGTTCCACAGGGCTGCGTGCTATCGCCAACGCTGTTTCTTCTGCATATCAATGATATGTTGCAAACCCGTAGCATTCATTGCTATGCAGATGACAGCACTGGTGATGCTCTTTACACCGGCCGAGCCAATATTTCTCGGGAATACGTCTCTGAGTGCCGGGACAAACTTGTGTCTGAAGTCGAGTCTCTGCTGGACAGAGCCATAACAAAGCGACTCTACTACTTTACAAGAGAGTTTATTAAGAGTAGTGAATATGAGCAATGTTGGACAGCCAACGGTAAGGTGTACATACGCAAAAAGGAAGGGATGCCCAGCCGATTTATCAAGACAGAAGATGATCTAGCACAACTACGAAGACAAAAGTAACTAGACTGCGTTATTTTATCTTTAGCAATATTGTCCAAATATATTATAATACTATTCTTGTTACAAGTTTGTAGAATTAAATTTAAAAACTATATTAATCACCAACATCATTTCATATGCATACAACATTCTACAGAACACACAAATACTACACTAACAAATACATACACACACTACATAAAACTAATGTTATTAACTAAGAACACATGTGCTGTGTGCAATACGAGAATATATAAATGCTATAAGCTCTCTCTCTGTACTACTTCTGGCGACCAACTAATTGTCACTATCTATTTAGCTCTATTAAATGTCACATATAAAAATGTAACTAGGAAAAATAAACACCACAATAGTAGATAATATACTAAATAACACATACAACATAGATTCTGTCTCAGTGTCGAATTCATCTACCTGTGACTTAGATAATTGCATCCCACTAAACTTCAACCCTAAGCAATCACTCAAAATACTCGTACTTAATCAAAACATTAGAAGTATCTCAAAAATTATGATTGGTTTCTATACCACACTCGCTAGGACTAAGGTTGATTGGGACATAATTACATTAACTGAATGTTGGCTTCCCAATACACATAATATCCCTGACCTAACAGGTTATAAATACTTAATACTGCTAACAATCTAAAACAAAGCAAGGGTGTTGTTGTATACGTACATGAAAACCTACAGGTTTCTGTAGAAGAACCCCCATTTATAGATGCAAATTGTCTACAAATAAAAATAAACCGAAATACCATTTTATTATGTCTATATGTGTATGAATTTTATTACGTCGTCACACCCCGTGTCCAATGCTGAAACCAAGCGTGAACTCAAAATTAGCAAGTGACAAAATGATAGCGAGTTATTAGAACTGGTTGCAGGTAAGTCACCCGGTCACGATGGTCTCAGTATTGAGCACTTTAAATATGCAGGTGTGCACTTACCTAGAGTTTTGGAACTATTATTTAATGTTTGTGTCTCGCATACCTACTTGCCTGCCGACTTAATGAGGACTTCAGTTGTCCCCATTGTAAAAAACCGTACTGGTGACGTATCAGAGAGATCGAACTATAGACCAATATCCTTGGCAACGACAATATCCAAGATATTTGACAGTATGCTTAACTCTATTCTAGAAAACCACTGTAAGCTACATGATGGCCAGCACGGCTTCTCGCGTGGTCTATCAACAGAAACAGCAATAATGAATTTAAAGCATACTGGCAAATACTACACGGACAGGCGCATCCCAGTGTATGCCTGTTTCCTAGATCTGAGTAAAGCTTTCGATCTTGTCTCGTACGACATCTTATGGCGTAAGTTAGAAGGCGTAGGTTTACCTTATGGCTACACCAATTTACTCTAGTATTGGTATAGTAACCAAGTGAACTTTGTGAGATGGGCGAATGAGTATTCTGAGCGGTACAGGATGGAGTGCGGGGTTAGGCAAGGGGGGCTGACATCACCGAGGCTTTTCAACCTGTATATGGACGCACTGATTTGAGAGCTCAGCAGCATGCGTATCGGCTGCCATATCGGCAAGGTGTGTGTGAACAATATCAGCTACGCGGACGATATGGTTCTGCTGGCACCCTCAGTTAGTGCGATGAGAGCTCTACTCGGTGTTTGTGAAAAATTCGTTGTCTCACATGGTTTACTATACAATACCGAAAAATCGCATTTCATGGTATTTAAGGCTGGCAGTAAATGTCCTAGTGTGGTACCACCTATAAAGCTTTATAATGAACCGCTAGAAAGGGTCTATAGTTTTAAATATCTTGGAAATATTGTGACTGACAGCCTTAAAGACGATGAAGACATTGAAAGAGAACGTAGGGCACTGTCGGTCAGGGCGAATATGTTGGTGCATAGATTTGGTCGCTGCACTGACGCTGTCAAGATCACGCTTTTCAAAACATATTGTGCGTCATTTTATTCTTGCAGTCTATGGACCAACTACACCAATAAGACTTATAGTGCCCTACGTACTCAATACAACAAGGCATTCAGGGCGCTGTTGCGGCTGCCGCGCTACTGTAGCGCGTCTGCGATGTTCGCACTGGCGGGTGTGGATAGTGTTGGTGCAATAATACGAAAAAAGACCGCATCTTTGCTAAACAGAGTGCGCGGCAGCGGCCACAGTGTACTGAGTGAGATTACAAAAATATAATAATAA